TGAGATGAGATGAGATGAGATGAGATGAGATGAGATGAGATGAGATGAGATGAGATGAGATGAGATGGATCGAAATAGCATGATTTTGTTAATTATCTTCAATCTGATCAACTTCTTTTGGATGGCGGTTCAAAGCCCTCTCTCTACTTTCAATCTATCAATCAAGCATAAGTTGTCCGTACTTAACTTTCTACCACATTTATTCACATTCAACGTTTTTCCTAATCTATTAATTTTAATTGACTATCTTATCTCTCTGTTAACCTACTCGTTTGAGACCATTTAATCTCATGTCCAGTTTATACCATTTGTTCGGCTACTTCTGACCGTTGGATTCAGCTTCCTTTACAAGCATTTTTGTGTTCCCCCAATCTTTGTCGAATAGCTCGGCATGTCTCACTAACATAACACCGACCACATGAGCAAACAATCTTTTAGCAGCCGGATACCGATAAAGGGGCATATTTCTCTCTAAAATATAACATAGCAGAAGAAAGTGTGAGGGTTTCTTTGAGCGCTGTTTTTATCATCCACTTTGTTACAAATTCGCGTATCCTATTTGAGAGAAGGCATAGTGGAAAAATTAGGACATGTGAAAAGTTCTCAACCTGTCCATCTTAGGCGGAATCTTCTCCGTCTGAGATATTATTCTTAATAAGGCTCAAAGTGTAATTATTTTCCACGAATAAATTTGGCTTCACTCTTAATAATCAGCTGTCCCAGCTCTGATGATTTCCATCATATGATGGACGATAGTCAACCCGTTTTCACCTGAAAAGAGGGAGGAGGTCTCGTGGACTGCGTCGATCTCAACGTCGTATAAAAGCCAAACGGCTTCACTAAAACGGGATTCAACCGCCCTCTTCTGGTGAGATCGACCTTCGAATCTTTTCTTCATACACTTTCATACGAAGTTAAAGTCCCAACAAAAAGGTTTATATCATCTAGAATTTTGGAATAGCTGAACACGTGGCCACTACAGTACACCAGTTAGAGTCGTATGAAACCCAAATATTTTGGAATATGTAAAAAATTTACAGTACAGCCTAGGAAGTCAGTTTAGATTAAGCAAGCAGCCAACACATGTGGACAAAAGTTAGACTTTAAGAAATATATGAGATAGAATTAGCCTATTTCATTTAACATGGCATGGGGGCTGGTAGCTGAATTTTCCCACGATCACATGAGTTGACCGTAGAGCGATCTACTGGTAGTCTCGAAACCCAACTTATAAGGGAAAAATTCGCAAAATAAATTGACTTATGGTTGTTGAGCTTACTTCCATTACAAATGAAAGCGTGTCAAAAAGATAACAGAATTTGGAACCGACAAAAAAACGACATCGGATAGCTCTGTCATTTAGCTTTACAGAAGCATTCCTGCTGACTCTGTCTCCCAGGCAATTTTCTTCAATTTCAGTGCCAATGTGTTAGGCTTTCGTCTGTCATATGACGGAAATTGTCATACTTATAACCGTATTCAAGTAAACGGATCAAGCAAACAAACTGGCTTCTTCTTAAATGCTGTATATATACCCTAAATATATACATTTTGATGAAGTATAAAGCGATTTAGATGCTTCAAATTATGTGCCAATCTAGAACAATGTGCGCGCTCCTGTTTGCGTGTGCTGACGTCTATTCACGTCTGCGTGCGTGTATGAAATCAGCAGTTATGGGTTAAAGCAATTACTAACAGAATACACCATTTCTCCTCCGTCATCACACCGTGATGGCCGTCTGCAAAGGCTTATGCTATCCAGAATATAGAGCACTAGCAAGGGTGGTACAGAAGCCAACGTTTTGCAGAATGTGGCGACTTTACAGCCCATCGGAAACTCAGGGAACCCGTTAAGATTAGCAAAACAAGCGGTATCCTGAATGGGAAAAACAAGTGTAGGAGATCAGGCGAAAACGACTTCCATAAAGTTGGTTCGACCCCCGATTCGCGGCTTGGTACGAACGGCATAGAGACCTTGTGGAACGTATGTAGCCCAGCCTCCTCGGCGCTAGCAGAAAAGTTTTAGTAAAACCAGCCGAAAACTGGTCAAAAAGACTTCGCTGGTGATCGTTTTCTGGTGCGATCAAACCTCGAATCTCTCCATGACACATTTTTACTTGAATTGGAGATGAACACAACAGTTCTGACCCAAAACTATCCAACTTCTATCTGCATATCCTCCTCAGGTCTCTGTTGCAGCCAATTTATGTAGCCCTCTCATACAAACTTTAAATTGAAGTGAAAAGTTCGCAAATACGTCTAAGCTTGAGGTAAAATAGGGCCTACCAACCCGAAAAATGTGCACATCTGCGATGTCTAACCCCAAAGAGACCCAAATGTACAAAATACGACAGTAAGCAAATGGGAGCATTTACGAACCGGCTTGGTTTATCTAATCTCGTCCTATAATTGAATGAAGAATGGTCTACACCCGATGCAAGCAGTATAGCCTCATAAAGGTTTCAAGCAGTCGTTTTCGACCAAAACCAGTAACCAACAATTGTGCATAGGAAGCACATTTCAGCAGATAGGAAATTTACGAACTATTTTACTATTTGCACAGTTTTTATTTTGCCAAAGTGTTAAAAAGCCAATTCTAAGCTGTACTCATTAGCCTCCATATTATTAAGCCCTGGGAAGTTGCGATTAAACCATTTGTTTGGTTGTCGATAAAATAAATCTTCAAAAGATGATTTTCGTGTTCTTGAACGAACAAATATAGGAGACATCTCTGATGGATGATAAACAGATCTACTGAAGCACTTAAAAATCAGACAGAACGCGCATAGCCCAATTTTCTATGAAGAAAACATGCCTCAAGAATTTGGTCTCCGACCTGCAGACCCCTCAGACTGGCCCGGTTTGCCACGTGGGAGATAAAAAGACCTGTTTTACTGCCGCCAGACAGTTGAATATCTGAAATGTTGAGTTTGCTCGGAGGCAAAGTGAACTGAACGAAAATGTCGGAGGCGGGGTCCGATCCGATTGGTGGATGCGCCTGTTCTGCGACGCATTGTTGGAAAATTTGACTTTGATAACTTTTGTTGGATCCGTGGAAGTTGTCGGAAGGGATGAGACAGGACTTTAGCAACTGCTCGTCCGAAAGATAGGGCGCCTTGAGAATGGAATCGGAGTCGACTTCTCTCTTGTGGTCATGCAAAGTAGGTGCATTCTGGTGATGGGAACATCTTCCATCGTCCTGCAAACAACTGGCAGGCATGACGAGATCTCGGCTGGAGACAGCGTTGCCTGCGGATGACATGAATGTCTGAGAGTCGGTCTGACCGGTGAAGCTGAACGGTCTCCATTCTGGAAATTACACAGTGCAAAATACATCATAGCCCTCAAAATTCTTGCAAAAACAATCAGTGCATAGTTGAGATAGCATTATTATTTTAAAACGAAAGTATACATCAAGAAAACCAACCAATACTGTTCAAGTTCCTCTGATGTTATCAAAACATTCTCATCATCTTCACAAACCTAAGCTTCTTGTGTACGTTCATGTAAAAAATTTCTGGCTGCTAATCTAAGCTTCAAATGTATGCAACAGTAGTTGTTTAAATTGGGCTGAAATTAAGACTATCTGTCGTTTAATCATCAGACTTATTAAAATTAAAAGTCACCTTTGATTGTTATTAATGTTTAGCAATCGTATAAAAATCCATTTTCATGCGTTTTAGATATGTTCTATGCTAGAGGCGGTATGAAATCTCATTAAAATAATATATAAAAGTTATCCGAAAGTAATTAACCAAGACAAGTACCAATCACATACTCAAAGGCTCCGGTATTGTTTTGCACTTTGGGGCTATTAAAAATCTTTCGACATTTCGTTACAGTTGTAACATTTTATGAAGCGATGATGGGAGCTGAATGAGGTCAAAGTTTCAGTCAAATCTTGATAATAACGGACTTTCTTGGACGTATTGAAATGTGAAATTAAATATTTTTCACATTCATTTCATCTGACCCACTCTTTGGCCGCCAGGTCTTACCGTCAACAATGCTTATGTCTCCATGGCTGGCTTACACTTGAAAGTTCGTATTCTCCACAAAAGCTTTGTTCACTTTGGGTCGTATGTGATGAAGGTCAAATACATAAATATTCACATTATATCAGGACTGAGCCTCACGATTCCACTGCCAACAAAAGTCATTCTCAGCTGTGTTCACCCCATTTCGTGTAGGTTGATGAAGGACTGGTAGTTGATTTTTGCCATGATGATATGAATAGAGCTGACGTTTTTTCCCAAAAGATATTATCATCCAGGCTGAAGTGAATAGCAGTTTTGACCTCGCCTAGGTCTCATTAACAGCCTCCCAACCCCCACGCCTTAGTGCCACGAGTGTACTTGGGTCACAGGGCAGGTGTGAATTTCAAGGAAGGCCAGGCCCTTTTCCATACCACATTCTTTGGTGGGATTGTCGATAAGGCAATATTATATTTGCTATAACAATAGACGACATCACTTTATTCGTAAGTGAGTAGGTTTTCGAGACTACCAGTAAATCAGATCTATAAGTTGTGTTCCTTCTATTTCATTGTAAAACGATTAAGGACTGGTAGTTGAAGCTTCCCACAATGATATGAGTAGAGCTGACGTTTCAATTGAATTTCGCATAGTTCTGCTTTCCGTCATCATCTTAAAGGAAATAAGGTGAACACAACTCATATATCTAATTTACTCTTAGACTCGAACAGTTATTCTTACACAAG